GAAAACTTTACAACCCTGATCTCAAAAATAGAAGTAAACCACAGACTTTCCATGGTACGGTTCGTGTTTCAGTATCAAATAAAAGAAACAACTAGTGTTACAAGAGAAAAAAGAGACGTTTTCATATGAAAGAGAGGGTTGGGTAGCTCTTATTATTTGAATTGTGGTTCCTATAAGAGGCTTTCTCATCCCTTGAAAGAAGAGCAATTGTTTTGCCCCGTTACCAAAGAACAAACATTTTGGTGGGGATGCTGGAGCCCCCCTCGGAGAGGTGGGGAGGGGGCAGGAATGGCCGGCTGCGTCACAGCCACCACAGGCAAGCAGATGAGCAACCAGCCTGCCAATTTATTAGCCCACAAAGGCAGAAAAAGGAGGATTAATGCAGGCACCACAATCACTAGCACAATTCTAAGAGGAATTTAAAAAAAAAAATAGTTATTTAAGTGCAGGGCTGGGAGGAGTCTAATGATCCGCCGCTGGATTTGCGGCATCTCCCACTTCAAATGAAATCTGCTCGGCTTGGAGGTACAAAGTGGTGTTTCCCATCCTTGGCCGAACAGTTCGCCTTGAGTCCCTGAGCCGATGAATCCCCACACAGCTTCTGCAATCAAAACGTAGCAATTTCAGCGATAAGCAAAAATAAACCCTAGTTTCTCCTCCCAAGGCCGTGCTGGCTCTGCACAGCTAAGAGATATAAAACATTATATTCTTCACTAAAATAGGCAAGTGAAAATGTACCAAGCGGATACAGTCTATGCACAATGCATGCTTTTTAATATAGGAATTTAAAGACATTTCTACATTGATTATTTTTAGTAAAGTGAGGGGGGTTTATCATTTGTTTTACATTTTTTTACCTTTCCTAATGTATTTTGTGCATCAAAGCAGCTTTGGGGTTAGAGAGGCTTGGGGTAGAGGCAATACAGCAGATAAAAATGTCAGTGGCAAGATACGACAAATTTATAGTAAATACCTGTCAACTGCTATTTATCTAAATTATCCAGCTCTGGGATTCTCCAGAAATACTTCATCAACTAGGAGGCAGCTACAGTTTTAAGCCTGTATTTACATCAGAACCTGCTCTCTTTTTCTTTTTTTCTTTTTTTGGACACTTGTTCTTTACCCTAAAATGACCCCTTTGTAGCTCGGATCAAAGAGCTGGGAGTGTCAATACCAGTGTCTTCATGAACATGTTAAGAACCTCAAAGTAATTGGTAACCAATTAGCATAAAGCTAAAAAAACCCACCTAGCTAAGGTAAACCCTAAATGAGTACTAACAGGCAAGAGCACTGGCTGAAGCAGGAGCTTAAGCGACTTAAATCACCGTCAGCTGCCTTTGAGACAACTTCTTTGCACCCTCTGTGCAAACCACTCTGACTTTTTTGGGCTTTTTTTTATTATTCCTTTCTGCTCTTCATTCACTCTTTGCTTTCTGCCTTGCTACAGCTTACGGGAAACATGAAACAAAAACTGCTTTTCATTTTGTGTTATGTAAAGCAAAGCAATTCCATGTCTTGGCCTTGAAATACAAGGCACCCAACAGCTGTTCAGATGCTCCAGCAGATAAACCATCTGGCCCAAACCTCACCTTTCCTAATTTATTTTGGATATTGATCAAAGCAACTCGAGCATTACATAGACTTTGGTCAAAGACAACATAAAAAGATAAAAAAGTCAATGGCAAAATCACTTCACTGAAATATCCTTGTTTCTTCTTTATATAATAATATTACCATTTTCAACAAACTTCTCTATTAACTCAAAGAAAAGATATGCCTGATACCAGCAGCCTAGCAGTCTAACCACGCTGCAGACGAATGTCCTTAAATAGCACATCGCTGCTGAACAGAAACTAAGTGGGGTTTACTGTCTACGATCAGCTAAAACTAGACACGGACTTTGGCCAACCGACCAAGGAGACCAGGACAGGCCCCCAGGACTCGCATGTCCTGGCTCCGCTGCCGGCTCCCCCCCTTAACCCCTTTATATGATGCTCCTGGCGTCTGAAGAACCACCATATCCATGGTTCCAGCTAGTCTTTTTTTAAGTTTCCTAGGAAAAGGACAGTGCACATTTGTCTAATATTACCAGGATTCCCACTGAGACACCGAGGTTGTTCAGTGGTTACCGATTCGTACCAACTCGAAACCAAACCTGTCACCTGAAAAGCCTTTTTTCATGCAATTCAGAGTACATTTGCTGCATGCAGAAACCGCAGGCAGGGTAAGGACTTGCTGTTCTAGGCACTGTTTAGGGACATAAACCCAAATCATGAAATCAAAGGATTTATTTGGGCAAAGAAGGGTTATCCGTGCGTACACAACTCCACATATAATACACAAATACACTCTTGTGATGTTTTGTTCGATATCTGCAGATATTCAAAGCCTCCCCTACGCCCATTTCTTCCTCAAGACACCGTCAGCCAGCCCGTTTCTCACAAGAAAAGGAATCGCAGATGAATAGTCCCATAAAGCATCCCACCAGAGCCTGTCCTCCCCGGAGCCGCCACCACGCCAAGGTCCAACTCTCAATTAACCCCCGCCTGACCTTCCTTCACTTTCTTTCCCCCTCCTCTGCCCTTCCTGAGAAAGTTCAGCGTTTCCTGGAAAAGTCTCCTTGCCTGTTTGATATTGTACTTCGCCTTGGTTGCTGAAGGAAGGATTTACAGGTGCCTGGCCCCCTCTGTAAGACCATGACCGAAGGCTGACCTCCTGTTACAATATGTGAACTTCTGCCCTGCTGATAAGGCTGGCAGATATGAGTAGGATTTTTCAAATAATCCTTTGGGAATTTATAAGCAGCACAGCCATAAAACCGAGGTGACTGGAAGGTCGATTTCACTAAAAATAATAAATATCTCAATGTTTATTCAACGTGGGCCTTTTTAACTGCAGGCCAAGCGTTTAGATAACGCTATTGTAAATGACAAATATTAGGATTTTTTGGTAACTATTACATTATGATCCTTCCGTCTGACACTGATGTGGCTGTTTCCCTCGATGCTTGCTGGATCTCTGACATTGTTCAACCCAAGTTGGGCCTAGAAAGCCAGGGCAGGATTCAATCACAGGTCAGGAAAAGGGCAATTTTCTTTTCAGGAGCCTTCACTACAGTCGGTTACCTTTTTCTCTTGCTCCTGTCTCACCAACGCACCTTCTTTAGAGCTCTGCTATATCTTTTTGCTCATTACTAAGGCTTTTGGCTGAAATAGAGGAGTAAGGGGAGAAGGATTGAATGATCTCGGCTCAGGACGGGGACAGAGGAGGCTAACCCACTGGCATGAAACCCCTGCACCAGGTTTAACCTCACCATCACCACGCAGTCCACTGCACTATTCCCACCTCCAGCAGAAGACAATCCCATCCAGATCCACCACAGAGCACTGGCCATGAAACCTGTCTTCTAGCAGCAGCATTTCCCTAATACCCTTTGGAGGACCAATTGCTATTTAAGATTAAAAAGTAAAGCAACAAGACAACAACAAAGCCCCAGTGTAGAAACGAGACCGTTTCAAATATGCAAAACTGTTACATCCACCAGCGAAAGCTCTTCATCTTTTTCCTAACAGCTTTATGTATAAATACACAATTAAATAAATACCCTTGCATTAAACAAAGGTATGTAAGCTACACAAATAGGATTCCTAATCCTGTTTTCATGATACATATTCTCCATTGAAGTTTCTCCAAATAAAGTGACACTTTGAAATCCACAAAGCGTTTCAGACCAGTTGTAATCTTCAATTAGCACACTCCCTGAACCGGGCTCCTAGCGCCGGGTTTGAGGAGGAGGTTTTTGTCCAAGATAAACAGAGTAACACATTTTGGGTAGGTTAACTTTTTCATTCCAATAAAATATCATGGCAACGTAGCCAAATTACATAATTATTAACAGATGAGGGCACAAAAAGATTTTATATAAGTGTTTTTTATGACAATTCTTTTCCTTTCGCAAATTCATTTGTACGTATTGCTGGAGAAACTGGCTTTAGCAGTGCCTTAAAAACAATTCTCTCTCAAGCCTGGCTCCACCGTGGAAAGGGAGGGAAGCTGCGAACAGACTGCTCCTTTCATCTGCTGCCTGGGCTCCAGATTGCTCAATCGCAGGAGAAGAGCCCTCTGAAAGCTCCCTCTCTCCAAAGGACATTAAAGAACGGATGCAAACAACACAGGTTCTTTGGGTCCGCAGATGCAAGGCTCGTACGCTGCTGGAGGCATCTTAGAAATTAAAAGTTGACGGGTAAGCTACAAAGGGCATCTTATCTGCCCTTGTTATAAATAAATGAGTAAAAAAAAAAAATCAATACCTTACGTACTCGTAACGCCTAGGAGAAAATGTAGCTCATCTAGGAGTCTACATCTGCAGAGATGGGAGCTCTCTTGAAAAGTTCTCGAGAACATGACACGGTTCAGAGTAACACTTTTTACCCAATAACCAAACACCAACACAGAACAGTTTCAGTTTGGACGTATTTTTCAGTGCACGCAAAGCCTAACTATCGGGAAATTGGGAGCGATACAGTCAAATGGTGGATATGGTGGGACGGCAGCAAATCTGCTCCTGTCAAACAATGTTTGAAGAGCAGCAAAATTCTCCTACGCGCAAACAATGTATTTAAAACCAATTTCCCCCCGGCAACTCCTCCATTTGCACTGAATAATGAAGTTATTGTGGTCAAAGAATTCTCGGAGGAAAACTGTATGACCAAGAAATATGGATATTATAAACCCAGGGTCTGCAATAGTTGGAGAAAATATCCCTTCAGATTTCTGTGGCCTGCATGAAGTAACTGTGTGGTTTTTACCCAAATCCATCCAGCACTGGCCTACGCGTCTTCAGGTAATGCACTTCCTAGCTAAGAGAACATTAATAAACGTTTTGCAACCACCTCCTTCCAGCAGCATCGATGGAAGGAGCAGCACCCCATCGTCTTCTTTAAACCACAGTCCAGTGTCAGCACCAGTCCCAGTCTCAGGGGCAGCACAGAGTCACTTACCAGGACAGAGTATATGTGCAGGCATCGGTACACCGGTGAGAAGTCCACCAGGTCCTGGGCCCCAGGCACCTAAAAGACAGCAGGAGATCAGTGTGAAATATGCAGAGCACATATAGGTACGTGCAACTCTAATATATCACATATAGGTAAGTGCAACCCCAAGGCATGCAAGTCCAACAGAGCGCGACACCAAGATTTCAGGTACGTAACAATTAGAGTGATTATTAGTATCTACCTATATCTGACTATATTTACTTTTTTTTACAGTTTCTTGAAGTAGGAAAATTTCATTTAATATTGCTCTCACTCCATATACACTCCCCTAGGAAATCACATTGCAGCATTTGGCCCTCTGTTAGCCAGCTCAGCAGAGAGTTAATTTAACCGTAAGCTTAAATACAAGTTCAAGCATCCCGGCACAAGCTGTTGTGGTACTTAGGCAACGGGGGCAGCTGGGGTAAATCTTATTCTCTAGATTTCTAGTTTGCTTTCTTTAAAAGCACAAGTTTTTTGGTTGGGTTTTTTTTTCATTTTTTTTCTTAAAAAACACACACCACACAGACTCTACCACCTTTCAACAACATAGTGAGTCTTGCACAGGGACAAGGAAGCGCATTTTTGAAGGGTGGGACAGAGGGAGGGAAGGCGAGAGGAAAGATCAGAGAAGAAATTTGTATACAAGAAGCTTGTGTCCTTTGGATATGTTCAAGCCAACACAGTATTAAGCTTGTTGGCCAAGGCATAAAGCTAAGGCAACCCTTCTCCCCCAAAATCCAGAGAGGAGAGAAGTGTTCTGTTGACACGTGGTGGAAAAAAGGGGAGAAAGATGAAAGGGACCAATGGACAGGCCTGGGAAACATGTTTATTTTATATATTTTTAATTATGCTTAAGAGCATTTCTGCTAAAAAGGAGGTAGGATGAAGAAGAGAGAAGTTTCTAGATGGATGAGGGTATGCAAGCCTCAACGCTGCCCAAAGCACCTGAGGCAAGCGGTCCTCCTCATCTAAAGCAATGGCTCCAAACAGGGGAGTGCAGAAGTCATGGGCTGGAAAGGGAAAATAGGGGATTTTGTTAAATAGCCTCCTGTGTAATGTGGAACTGGAGCTGTTAAAGAATCCCCCCACGCGAAGGAACTCAGTCCTCAGCGCTACATAAGTTCTTGGTTAGAGCTGAAACGATGAAAGAAGATACGGAGATGGACAGAGCAGGACAGAGCAGCAACACACGACGTGGGAGCATCCCATCCTGCATCACCAACATCGCTCCAAGACCCCCAAAAACTTGACAGTCCCAGCCTGGTAGTGCAGGGAGGGGAAGCAGCTGGCTCATTGGGAACAAGGCAGCAAACAGTTTTATTGGGGTACGGCATGAGCCTGCCCATCCATCTCGCTGGGCTTTCCTTCCCTCCCTTGCACCAAGCGCTCCGTCATGCCATTTGAGCAGCTCTTACAGACAGGCAAGGTTGGTTCCCCAGGAAGGAGGAAGGTTCCCGAGCCAGGGATGGGGCTGGCATCGCCTGCGTGACCCTTTTTCCACATTGAACCTGGCTGTTCAACACGCCCCAGCAGAAGGGTTACAGCTGAACCGAGGGCAAGCACCTGTGAAGCCCAGCTCACCGGTCTCACTAACATCTCTTGCTTTTACCTTTTATAAGACTGTATTTGACAACTGCAAACACTAGGCAGCAGTTTTATTGTGTTAATGCCAATTTTATCATGTCTTCCTGGTTGTTTATTTTCCATTTGCAGTCTCCCGGGCCTTCTAATGCTCCCTAAATAGCTCCCAAATCCAGATTTCAGCTAGTTTGTGGACTCCTCGGGATACAGATTTTGCCTTGCTGTATTCCTCCAGCATTAAATGTAATTGGTCTCCAGTTGGTAAAACAATAAAACACTTCTGGCTCATAAATCCCCGATTGCAAAACTGCTGGAGATCACTAAAGCAGACAGGGAAGTATCGGTACTCGCTCGACCCAGCCATCCTCCGGCGACCACCATCAGCGTGGGGAAGCTGGACTGGACGGACCCGAGTCCACCCTGTGTTTTTCCAAGGGAGGAGAAATCTGTCATCCCTTCACATCATCATCAAAGCAGGCGATGTTTTCCTGTGAATTTGAATTCAGGATCAAACGGTTTTGCTCCTCTTGGATTTGGGGCACTAGTTGAACATGGTTCACGGAGAAATATTTCTGATAAAGATTTGTGAAATCAGGATATTGCCAAAAACAGAGTTTACTCCCCCAGAGAAATTCTTTCAAAGCAGACTGCAACATTTTCAGAGTCTCTGATCTTCTGTAAAAACTTTTAAGCCCACACACACTCTCACAAAAATATATGCTGGACTATCTGCGGAGTTAACATCTCCGAGACATTAATAGCTTTAAAATTGCTAAGCTAGGTAGAACACTATAAGACATGGAAGCACAAGTCCTGGGTGACCAGAAAGCTTTTTGCAAACAGAAAGACATGCACCCAAACACTGTGCTAGGATTTTATGCAGGGTATAAACCTGCAATATATTTTAAGGAAAAGAACAGACCACCTCTTCCACATATAGCCATAGCCCTACAACAGAAGAAATAATAATCCTATCGTTTGAAATCTTTCCAGACTAACCAAGATAGGCCTCTGAATATAGAGAATATATGATATTATCTCTGTGGTTAGTTTAACACGTTGCACAATTTAAACATATCTAATATTTACATATTTAGATATTTATCTACTATTTAGATATTTAGACATATCTAAAAATTCAGGCTTAGCACATCCCCTTTAGCAGTGACTTGATTTTCTTAGCCAAAGCTGCACTACCAGTGTTCAAAAAAATAAATAAATCTTTGATTTTTGAAACTTGACGATGAAATGAGAACTAGAGCCGCCTCAACAACAGGACTGATTACTCCCCTGACACCTCCCCTTCAGCCTGATCTTTTTTTTTTCTTTTGATTTGCAGAACAAAGAATTTATTCATCTTGTCCAAAATTGTCCCAGTCCACAAAACATCAGCTTCACAAACCTAATTCCCAAACCCTGCATCCGGCACGTTCCTGGTGCTGGGAGCAGAGGCAGACCTGTCAGTCTCTGTAAACAGCCAAGCCCTCTCTTTTCGCAAGAATGTTTTCAGTCGGGCTAAACACTGCCTGTAGCAAATTTAACCCATGGGAGCCAAGTTTTCAATGGAAACATTCAACTGTAGCTGCCACCAACACAAGGCTGGCCCAGAGTTAAGGGATGCTCTGATCTGGCTTCAGACAAATTTGTGATATAATGGCTTGAATCTCTGCACCTTGTTAGTTTTTGATGTAAAGACATGACACAAGCACAGATACATTCACCCCTCTTTCAGTGACGGGAAAAAAACCTCCAGACTTAAACACCAGGAATTCAAGAGAGGTGTTTCATGAACCAACTCATGGGCCCATTGATTGACGTACATAGATGAGCTGGTGCAGAGGAACATGAGCACACACGACACTGCACCCACAAAGGCTCAAGTCCAGTGGAGGACGCTGAGCAGGATGGGTCTCTTCACGTGACGCACACATTGCAGAAAGCATCTGTAAGTAGAGTAAAACTCTACTGCTCAAAGTAGTGTTGGTTTGCACTGCGTCCAGCTCTGGAGCCCTCAGCACAGGAAACACACGGACCTGTTGGAGCGGGTCCAGAGGAGGGCCGCAAAAATGACCAGGGGGATGGAACAGCTCTGCTATGAAGAAAGGCTGAGGGAGTTGGGGTTGTTCAGCCTGGAGAAGAGAAGGCTCCGGGGAGACCTTCTTGCAGCCTGTCAGTACTTAAAGGGGGCTTATAAGAAAGATGGGGATAGACTTTTTAGCAGGACCTGTAGCGATAGGACAAGGGGCAACGGTTTTAGACTCAAAGAGGGTAGATTCAGACTAGGTTTAAGGAAGAAATTTTTGACGCTGAGGGTGGTGAAACACTGGCCCAGGTTGTCCAGAGAGGTGGTGGATGCCCCATCCCTGGAAACATTCAAGGTGCCCATGGCAGGGGGGTTGGACTAGATGGCCTTTAGAGGTCCCTTCCAACCCAAACCATTCTGTGATTCAACAAATCACATCTAATCTCTTTAGGTACCAGCAGCTGGAAAGCACTTTACCCCACGCTGAATGGAGGCACAGAACAAACTCTGCTGTAGATTTGCTACATCTTGTGTGGTCTTGCTGTCCTTGGACTGCCCCAGTGTGTCCCATGGGACAAACATAAGGAAAAAAAAACTGAATGCATTTGCACAGTCAAGAGAATGCTCAGGATACTGTGACATTGGAAGTGGCCCAGTGGTCCTGCAGACTAACTGATCTCACTCTGGGTCATATTATAGACAACAGGCAGACAGCTTTGTCTAGAAATAGAGAGGTTTCTCTCAGTGCCCAACATGATTTTTGCATAATTACTAGTGGAAGCAAACAAAAGGTGGAGGCTGATGGCACCTAACAAAGCCATTTATCAGGGAAAGCCAAGAGAGCTCTCTGGGACCCCCTGCTCTAGCTCCCAAAACTTTGTAAGAAATCTATTACGCTCACTTAGAGAATTACAGCTTATTCCTACAGCCAGGTCAACCTGAAAGAATGCCAGAAGCATGATGAATTTTGGCTACACCTCACACCTGCTGATGTCCTGAGTGCCAAACTCCTTCTCCAAATAGAAAACTGTCTGGAATTTGTTGGTTTGTTCTTCAAAGACAGTTGAGTGGCCGTTCTGCTAAAGCGTGATGTCCTTCCTTAAAATTTCCTCTCCCACAAAGGAACACCAGGGAGTCCAATTCAATCCAACCACTTCACAGACACTTGACCAGTCTTTTCTGGGGACAAGAAGAAACAAGGCACAACGCAGGCGAGTTTCTCCTGCTGTATTCAACAAGAAAAGTCACTGAAAATGAGAAGAATCTGGATGAGCTTTATAGTTTTCTGGATGCTTTTTACTACAAAGGGAACAGCTGGCACAAACCAAACGGACTATGGAGCTACTCACCGTGTAATGCAAATTCTCCTTCTGCAACTTGACATTCATAAAAACTGAATTTAAGCCTTCTCCCAGCTCACTTTACAGCT